CCAGAGTCTGTGTTCCTAATCAAGGTTATTCTAAAAGGATAAATGAGGGCATATAATCCACCTGTCTTGTCCTGAGAAGTGCCAGCCATCTCCTGACCTCAGATTAGGGTCAAAGCCCTAATCTGGTCAAGAGAGGTCCAGAGACAAAAAAACAATGAACAGAGAAATATATAATTCCAGATTGTGATAGCCATGGAGAAGACGAGACGAGAAGTCTCGCTCTTGTTACCCAGGCTGGAGTGCGACGGCACAATCTAGGCTCGCTGCAACCTCTGCCTCCCAGGTTCAAGTGATTCTCCTGCCTCAGCCTCCCGAGTAGTTGGGATTACAGGCACCTGACACCACGCCCAGCTAACTTTGGTATTTTTAGTAGAGACAGGTCTTCACCGTGTTGGCCAGGCTGGTCTTGATCTCCTGATCCCAAGTAATCCACCCGTCTTGGCCTCCCAAAGTGCTGGGATTACAGGCGTGAGCCACTGCGCCCAGCCTGAGAAGCAATGTTGTTATTTTGTTCTTCCATTCATTTGCCTATTCAGTCATCAATTCTTGAATTTCTTCATTCATTCTTTCTTACCTTCAATTATTTAGTTTTTCACTGGGCTTTCATTTGTTCACCTGTTAATTCCTTTGTTCTTTGGTTGATTCTGCGGCTCCTATACACAGAAAGCCTGCTACTGTGTGCCAGGCCTGTGTGGGTATGGGAGGAATCTCCAAGAGCCAGACCCTGCCCTTGAGGAACACATATCCCACACATCCATCCCCCAGGAGCCAGTGGTGCACTAGGCAGAAGATGCTGAGTTTCTGCTGGGGGTGGGGTGTGGGAGGAGGCAGCAATCAGGGAAGGCTTCTTGAACAGATGCCTGTGAGCCAGACCTTAAAGGAAGACAGAGCCAGCATGATAGATTGGGGGGATCCCCCAAGAGCAGGGACCAGTCTCTCATCTCTGTGTTCTCTAAGGCTGCCACCTAAGACACAAGGATAATGTTTGTTTGTTTGTTTGCTAATTGAACATGAGGGCCAATGGCGAGGCAGGGAGCATTTGATGTCAGAGGTGATGCTGCCTGGCTAGGGTGAGGCCACTCTTCCAGAGACCTTGCACCACCACTGTCTCCTCTGTCTTCCTCCTCATCCCTC